ATGGGCCCCTTGACCTTGGCAATGACACTAGTACAAATGGAAGAATGCAAGTTTGTTGTCAATCTTGCAGCGGTGGTGGCGGCAACGGCGATCGCTGGCATTGGCAGCGACCAGGTGAAACACTATCAATCTGAGACCACATTTATCTTTGTTGTCAGCATGCAGAACCTGAGCTCTTGGGACAATTAACCCCTCAACGCGAGATATAGTTGGCGTGGAAGCGATACAAGGGAAGCATTTACCAACCTATGAAGGCTCGGTGATACTCTGCAGAATTTGGCCTCGATGAAGGCCCGGAAAGCTGCAGAGGAGGCCGAGCAAGAGAGAAGGCGCCAGGAGGACCTGGACTGGTGCGGACATTGAGGGTTTGGGAGTTCCGCCTTACGCGTAGAGAACCCGACAATCAAAAAGACCAATGAGGTTGCAGAGACCATCAGGCTTCTGCGGGTGCCACTTTTGCCCCTCCCCCCTGCTTGGGCGGTGGACAGTATCAACTCCTCATGGACCCTGGGACCCTGAAGGAATCTTGAGAACTTGGCAATACAGGAAGACCTCATTCCTCCGGGTGCTCATCCGCCTGACGTCTTGGGCCTCATGCCTCCAGGCACGCTATTGAGAGCCGCCAGGGATGCCATGGGGTTGACTCAACGTAGCTGGCATGTAGGGCGCTACCAAGACACTGATATCAGAACAGGCCATGATGTCTTGTTCCGATGATGGCTGTGATCGTGTTTATCAGCTGGCTATTGGTTTATGGTTCCAAGAATTACGAATGACCATGGCATTGATGGCCCTTGGAAGGCTTGAAGCCGGACAAGGCGCATCTGTACAAAACGTCGCCTTCAACTCAGAGATGCTTATGGCACCTGCGGTATGTTGTAATACTAAAGCGGAAGCCCACTCAGCACACCCTACTGCATCATTGGGTTTCCTGTGATCCAGTACGTCTTTTGCCTGGGTACAGATGTTCCTCCTGATAAGACGTTTAGAGCATAGCTCATGTAAGGGCCCATGCCTGTGCCGAGGTTTTGCAAGCGATGGGAGCAAGGCAACTGCAACTTTGGCAGTGGCCTCATCTTGGGCTTCAGACCTGTTTGCTTTTACTCCCATGTGCATTTCCTGGGAGATACAATACCATTTAGAGGCCTCACAAGTTTTAGGCTTGCCTTCAGGCTCCGCGTGCCACTTTGCTCATGGCGAACGAGAGCTCAGAGGGCGGCTGCCATCCCAGTGTGATGCTCAGAGATAGCTCGGCTCAGCTCTGTGAGAATCCTTTCAACTTGAACTCGCTTGCAGATGCTTGCAGGGCTGGCATGCCAGGGCCCCTGGCCGGAGTGGTTCCCATCTCAGATTCTTAGATCAAAAAGCAGACGTGCAAAAGATTAGGCAAAAACGACTGCGTGCAGGCACCTCGACCTGCGCTTTCTTCTGTGCCTTGCATGCCCGTGCCGGGCTTGGGTGCTTGGTTTTGACGCGGCAGCATGAGACATTTCCGTGGTGCCTCGCGGTGAGGTTTCCCCTCCGCGTCCTCCGATGCCGCCTCGTCCACCTGTCCCCGTGCCCGGAACACAGTTTACAGAATGTTACGGCACATGCAAGCGTTCAGATCGCAAAGTGCACAAAGATACCATCGCCATCTGCAGGTCCATGGGCAAAGGGGACTGGAAGGGTGAGAAAGGCAAGGGCTTCGAGGGCTTCGATAGTTTTGAGCTTGGCAAGGGCGGAGCTTGGGGAGGCGACGACTGGGGTGCTGGTGATGGGTGGGGGTGTGGAGGTGGCTGTGCAGGGTGTGTCTGCGCCGGCTGTGCTGGCCCTTGTGCTGGGCCCGCCGGTGCTGGCTGCGGTTTCGGCGGCTGCTGCGGCGGCTGCGGTGGCTGCGGTGGTTGCAGCGGTTGTAGTGGATGTGGCGGCTGCGGTTGTGGTGGCTGTGGCTCCGGCTGTGGTGGCTATGGTGGTTGTGGTGGCTGTGGTGGCTGTGGTTGTGGTCCATGCTTGGATGGAGACTGGGGAGGGAGTGGCCAAACTGATTGGGTTGGCTGCAACGGCGAGTGGGGATAGTGTGTCGAAACACCAGCTCCCAAAACTTTAGCCAATCCACCTGATCTGAGATTTTCGACCACTAACCTCTGCTCATCTTAGCCGCTTGAAACATACGAGTCGGCCGAGCTACCATCAGAGGAGAAAAGGATGGCACGTGCCCGATGCACGCTGAACAATCTCGGCCCTAATTTTGAATTGCACTGAAGGCCCTCAGACATTAAGGTTCCAAAGCTTGCAATAATGGCTAATTCAGCGTCATCTTTTTGAAGCTGCCTGTAAACCTACAACCCTGAATTCAATTCAAAGCTGCGTTCTGGGGGTGTGTCCAACGCCAGTTTCGTTTTGTATGTTTCGTTCAGTTGTAACACGACCTGTCGCAGGCATCTAGAATCTAGGATCCACTGGCCAGGTTCTCAGGACCAGTATCGTCTGTGACTCTGAAGATACCTGAAGTAGGCCAACAGCTTTCGTCTTGGGACATGTTGGGGCAGTTGCTTTTTTTTTTTTTTTTTT